CAGGGTCCAGACCCTTAGAGTCCACCCCTTCTGGGACACTGGCTGCAGATCCCCATAACTTGGCACATCCTCGGGATTCCATGGATTCTAACCCTTCTTGCCCCTTTCTCCATACACGCTCCTGTCAGCTTTCAGGTCACTCAATGAGTTCAGTCCTTTGCAAAAGCTGGAAGATAGGTCTTTAGCAACATTTGCTTTTGGCAAATGCCCCTAAAGCAAGGAAAGAGAAGATGAGGCTGTCTTCTTGGAATGGCAAGATAGAAAAGACACAGAACAAACTATAAATAGCTCTCATTTTTTATTCTTCCACAGCAGCAAAAAATAAAACCCACTATCTCAATATATTATCCTATGAAGTATTCAACGCAAAACACCAAAGTCTGTCTTCACCATCTCCTCTTTAATTCCCCTCTCAAAGCCACCATTATCAGGATTTTTGTGCGCATTATGTTGTCTTTATAATTAGCTTTCGATAATCTGATTGTAGACCAATATTAAATAAAAGAAAACTATGTAGCAGGCGCCAAAGGGACAGTGGAAGTCAGCCAAAGCCTGGGGAAGAGAGGGACATAAGCAGGCGACTGAAATACCATGGAATAAATCTATGAGTGGGGAAAAACAGGGTGCTAAGGGGACCTAGTGGAGAGGTCTCTGACAGAACAGTAAGTGCCAAAAGTGGGGACATGAAGTAAGTTATTTCTGGAGCATGGGTTGCAAGGATGGAACAGGTATAAGAAGGGAACAGTAAGCCTTGAGGCATGAGCTGGAGCTAGTAGAGCCTTTTAAGCCAGGGGTCCCCAATGCCCAGGCCGCAGACCGGTACGGGTTTGTGGCCTGTTAAGAACTGGGCCACACAGCAGGAGGTGAGCAATGGGCAAGCGAATGAAGCTTCAACTGTATTTGCAGCTGCTCCCCAGCGCTAGCATCACCACCTCAGCTCCACCTCAGATTATCAGGCATTAGATTCTCATAGAAGCACCAGTGCCTGGTGCCAAAAAGGTTGAGGACTGCTGTTTTAAGCTATGTTTAAAAAAACAGACTTTATTCCAAGAGCTATGAGTTTTTTGAGATCTTAACGTGGAAGAGTGACATGCTCAAGTTAGCATTTTAGGCCACTTTGGCTCCAGTATAGAGGACTCAGTGGGGTGTGGTGACCCCACTTAAGAAGTTATTTCAGTAAATTGGAATAGCAGCGATGGTGGCCTGTATTAGAGTAGCCATAATGGGAATGGAGGAAAGAGGACAATGAAGAGAAATGTTGGGGAGACAGACTTGTTAGAATTCGGTGATTGGTTGGATATTGGTGGTGGTGGTGGGAGGTAGAAAAGAGAGGAGAGACTAGCCGGACGACATCTGACCTGGGTGATAGGTAGATAGTGGTTCCGATCCCTAAAATAGAGAACACTGGAGGGCAGTTTTGAGAGGTAACAGGATTAGTTTAATATTGAACATGCTGAGTGTGAAATGTCTTATTTAAATTTCTTCCGGTAGAAACATCCCGGCCCTACCTCTTGGGCATATGAGTCTAGAACTCAAGAGAGGTCTGAGCTGCATGTATGTAATTGACAACCTGTATGTGGAAACCGAAGCCATGGGATTGGCTGGGGTCACCCAGGGCCACCATGAAGAGTGAAAAGAGAAGAGGGCCTGGATCAGTCTTGGAAGTCACCACAATTTCAAGGACTTGGCTTGGGCTTGAAGGATGTACAATTAGGAAGACTTGGGGAATGCATCATGTTTTCAAAGTCTAATGGAAATTGTTATTAATTTTTTTAACCTATCTTATACTACTTCCCATTTCTTCTGATTTCCACTACATAGTTCTGGGCATGTTTCTTAACTTTTGTTTCCTCAGCTTTAACATGGAGACAATAATAATTTTTACCTCATAGGGTTCTGAGGACAAATAGAGTTAGTACACAAGAGAGCTTAGAGCAATCACTGGTCCACCATGTTCGCTCAATAAATGTAAACTATCATCATCATTTTCATCATTATGAGCCTAACAATGGAGGGTTGACTATGTGGTTCATTTGGAGTTACATGACTCCAGAGGAAGGAGCCAGGTGGAGCTGGGTTCTAACCTTGTATGACCTTAATTTCTCTGGGCCTCAAGCTTCTTTCTCTTTAAATGGGGATGATAACACCTACCTCTTAGTGAGATAACGGCACACCAGAGGCATTCACTATTGGTTAATTTGCTCCCTTCTCTCTTCCATAGTCACTAGTTCAGTACCAGGGAAGTCACCAGACAACACCAAGTTTTTTCCCCTCCACCTCCTCAGAGGCATCCCGCAATATAGCACTGTGAAGGCCCGGGGGGCAGAGAGGTTGGTAGTTAAATATTTGCAAATCCTTCTCTAAAGTGACTTTCCCCCTCTTGGAGTTATCTTGAGAAAGCTGGACCATGGGCAGGGGGGCGGGAGGTTAAGAGGGGGCGGCAAGCAAAGCAGCAGACTTCTGTGGCTGCAATTTGTCGTTCCTGAAAGAAGGTCTCTCATCTTTTGTTTCACCTGACTTTTGACTCCTCTCACACCAGACTGTCCTCTGTAGTCCCTGGGGAGGTCCCTCTCAAACACTGATCTGTGGTCCCTGTTCCATAGTCTGGCTCTTGCCGACCTTTCCAGCCTGTGTCTGTGTCTCCACACCTCAGGCCCCTTCCTCTGCCATGAAGGTGCCCTCCCTGTGATCCCATACCTATTCCATCCCCAAGAAGCACTGAAGTCACTCCGCCCTCCCACATGGGATTGTTAGTACCCCCTCTTGTGGCCTCCCACAGATCCTTGAATGAACCCTGCATCAAACATCACAATACGATATATTTGAACACTTGTCCACTTGTCTTCTGAGCTTCTTTAAGGCAAGGGGCCTGTCTGATTCATTGTCGACTCTTCAATACTTTGTAACATGCCTGGCACCACAGGGGCCTTTGTTGTTGGTAGAATGAAGAAATGAATGGATGCATGGTTGGACAGATGAGCAGATAGACAGACTAATGGAGCTTTTGAGAAAGAGGCTACAGCTTCACACTTGTCCACTTGTCTTCTGAGCTTCTTTAAGGCAAGGGGCCTGTCTGATTCATTGTCGACTCTTCAATACTTTGTAACATGCCTGGCACCACAGGGGCCTTTGTTGTTGGTAGAATGAAGAAATGAATGGATGCATGGTTGGACAGATGAGCAGATAGACAGACTAATGGAGCTTTTGAGACAGAGGCTACTGAAGTGAGAACAGCCCCCAACCTTATGCCCTAGCTTTTTCTGGAGATGGGAAAGTGTATAACCTTTCCCCCTGCCACACTAAACCTTGATTGCTATCAGACTAATAGTAAGTTCTAGGAGCAAGAATGGAAATCCCTCCCATCTCGACACCACCCCACCCCTGCGCAAAGAGCTTTATTCACAAGGATACAGTCCAGAGCAAGGAAGGGCATATTTATTTGGAACTCACTATGTTCAAGGGACCGCAGTGATGCAGTGAGAGGAGATAGCCTTAAAGTGCTTTCAAAAAAGCGACTGCACTTTTAAATCCATCATCGGTGTTATCATCTTCATAAGTTCAAAAGTCTCTGGTTCCTCTGACGGTTCTTTTTTAGAAGTCCTTTAGACCAGCGGTCCCCAACCTTTTTTGGCACAGGGACCAGTGCCCCTATAGAGAATCCAGGGACCAGTGCCCCTATGAGAATCCAATGCCTGATAACTTGAGGTGGAGCTGAGGCAGTGATGCTAGCGCTGGGGAGCAGCCGCAAATATAGATGAAGCTTTCTTTGCTCACTCACCTGGGCTCACCTCCTGCTGTGCCACCTGGTTCCTAACAGGCCACAGACTGGTACCAGTCAGCAGCCCAGGGATTGGGGACCCCTGCTTTAGATTTCGACAGCAACAGAAAGGGAAGTATTGGCAGCTTCCTAGTAGGAAATCCTCTTTTTTTGCCAAGATACATTGGGTTTTCACTATGTGGAAACCCCTGGCTCATAGGATGATCTGGGGCCAAATAAATCATGCTTTGTTTTCACAGCACTCTGGGAAAATTAGATTCAAGTCGAATCACCTTGAATGAGAAGAGAGTGTATAGAAGGGCAGTTTTCATCCCTTTGATGAGGGAATCCTCTGGTCTCTGTTAGCACATATTGGGCCCACTTCCCCCTTAGTCATCGCTTAGCACCAGCTGGGCGAGAGGCCCAGGTGTTGGATTGGACCTGCCTTAACCCTCAGAGCAGGTGGGCTGAGCTGGCTCCATCTTTACTGCATCATTCCTGAGGACAAGATGAGCCCCTAAGAATTGTGCAGTTCAAGGCTTAACTGTTAGCCAAGCCTCATCCCCAAATAGTCTCTTCTCCCTATCATCACCCTGCTTAATCCCAGGGTGGTCATAGGGCAGGGGCAAAGGAGGGAATTGAGAAGGACAAGGCAACACTGAGTGAGAAGACCCAAGCCCCATGGGAGATGGGAATCTATGGGCCAACAGTTGCTGCGGGGGAGGGGGCAGGGGAGGGCATCTAGCAACACCAGGCTGAGGGCCATATCAGTGCTTTCAGAATCTTTCCCCCAGGGCAGGAGGCACAGGCAACACCCAGCACTCCTCTGGGGGAGCAAGGAAGGAAGGCAAGATTCTGAAAGCACTGATACAGCTCTTAGCCAGGGGTGTTGGGTGCAGGTAGAATTAGGAAATGTGAGAGGATAGGGCTGGGAGTAAAGCGCTTTGTGGCTGCCCGTTTGGAAAACAAGGGCTTGAGGGTTGTTTGGGCTGCTTTGTAGCAGGCTCTTCAGTTAGATCCCCGTTTTGGACATCCCTCACTCCTATCTGCTCCCACCTTGGCCCTGGGACCCCTGCAATGACAATGAATGCTTACTAGCTTGGTATGAGGTAATCTAGTAAGGAGACCACTCTTTTTTTTTTCTGCCTGGTACCTGCCTGTAACAGAGAAGTGTTTGGCTCCCACGGCTTGCTCCTGCTCCCTAGAGTCTCCCTAACATGTCTTTCTCTCTCTCTCCCTGCAGTCCCACCCCCTGTACCTGTGCAATGCCAGTGATGATGACAATCTGGAACCTGGATTTATCAGCATCGTCAAGCTGGAGAGTCCCCAGCGGGCCCCCCGCCCCTGCCTGTCACTGGCAAGCAAGGTAGATTCACTCTCGACCCCACGCACACTCTGAACTTCACCTGGCTCCAGGCTGTGAGAGATCCCTGTGCTCTCTGGCCATAAGTCTCCTAGGAGTTATGTACCTAATTCACTCAGGTTTTCCTAAGCCAAGACTGGTCTGAGAGGTGGAAATTCAGGCCTCTCTCCTTTCTCTACCACCCGTCTACCAACAGAACCTTTGACTGTCACTAGGACATGTGCCCCACCCCATCTCCTGCCCCCATCTCTTAAACTGCTGCTCCTGCCCAGCCTCAGAGCAAAGAATAGCAGAAACAGAACCCATTGTTCCTACCCTTAAAACACTCCCCCTCTTCCTCCCAGATTGCAACCCAGTGGCCCCGCATTTCCACGGGCACCATGGCAGCCTTTCCACAGTCGCGGGCTCCCTGGTTGCCGTGCTCCCCACTGGCCTCTACCTCACAGGCCCTGTAAACATTTGCATTTGTAATCCCTGCTTTAACATTAGTTACTGTTTTCTGTGTGCTTACCATGTGCTAGGTGAGATGTGGGACAGGGTCTTTATATGTATAGTCTCATTTACCCTCCACAACAGTTAGGAAGCTAGACATTATTATTCCCTATTTGACTTGTAAGGCAAGTGAGGATCAAAAACTTAGTAACTCACCAGGAGGACAAGGCTAGGAAAGGCAGAGCTGAGATTTGAACTGAGTCTTATCCAGTTCTCAAACCGGGGCTTTTACTCTCTCTGCTCTGTTACCTTCCATTCTGGCCAGGAAGGCTAAACATACGTGAAAAGATTCTCATGGTGACATAAGCCAGAGTGTAGTTAGATTGTGTGTGGCATGGGCAGTCAGACTTAGAGGAGGGGGTCCTGCTCCCTCCTCTAAGGGAGGGAGGTAAAGGAGGAGGGGTGGTAAAGGAGGAGGGTGACAGCTCTTACTTACCTGTATCCCTGCTCGCTGTACTCAGGCCTAGATCCCCTGGGGATTTCCTGATCCTTCTGAGGGCTGTTTCCTGAGCCACGAGTCTCAAGGACACAGCCTGGGTTCTTATGTAATCCCACAGGGGGCAGGTATGTGAACAGCGTTCTGATTGTGGCGCCCACAAGTAGGTGAGGATATTCTCCCAGCCTGGCCATGCCAGTGCAAAGGAGAACTCCAGGGGAGGTGGGAAATGGGGCCCAGGACACACCTGGAGGAACTGGAGGGTGTGGCGTCTCTGCAAGACTGTGAGGGCCCTTAAAGGCAGCAGAATTTCTGAGGCTAAAGTTACCCTGCTTCTGGCTATTTCATTTCCCTTGTTTTTCAAAATATAGGCAAATGTCATTCATTTAGTCATTTGACAGACAAGTGCTCACTGTTAGGTAGTGTGAATGTGAGTGGAGTGTGTATGTGTGTGTATGAGAGAGAGAGAGACAGAGACAGAGACAGACAGAGAGAGATGGGGGAAGAGAGTTCAGAGAAGCTCTGCTGTTCTCCTAGAGCAGTGTATGATTTCACATACCGGTGAACACTTGGCAGCCTGTCAGGACGTGTCCACATATGAGGTTTTCTTCTTGCCCCTCAGAAGAGCACACTCCTGTAGGAGAATTGAGGCGTGGGCACAGACACTAGGAAGCAAGGGATGTGTGGTCAGTGCTCTTTGAGGTAGTTTAACCTTGTTGGGCCTTTGTTTCTACCACCAGAAAATGGGACTTTTATTTCCTACTCCAGTGATTATTGTGAGGATGAAAACGATATGTGTCAAATGGCAGTGGTGCCTGAGCTAAAACAAAACACAAAAAACATCAGGGGTTTAGAAGAAGTGCCTTGGCTACTGCCCTGTGACCTCTTCTCTCAGAGATCCTGCAGTCACTGCCCAGGCTGCTCCCCTGGCATCTCCCCCATCACTGGGCAGGAACCTCTGGTGGGAACTGCCTTAGCCCCAAGCTGTCCCTCTGGTCAGGTCCAAGGGCTTCCCTCAGGTCTCATCCTTTGACCTGACCAAGTAGCTCCTACCTGGGATCCCCTGGCCCAAAGGAGTTCTGTGAAAGTAATGTGGGTCTTTGAGCTACTTCCAATATTTAAGAAGTCCCACAGGCTTAACTAAAATGTCGATTTTTTTGCTTTTGGTTGAAATTCTAACAGTTGAATGTATTAATACAAGTTATCTCATGGAAAAGTAAATTGTAATAAATGCAGCTAGTTTGGTAAAATATATTGTTTAAAAAACAGCTCAAGGGATGCATAGGTAAAGGTAGATCTTTGGTGAGGAAAGTTTGAACACTGCTGACCTCAATCAGCTCGATTGGTGTCGGTGGTGCCATCAACATTGACAGCTGGGGCTCTCGAGCCAGACAGCATAGGGTCTGAAGCCTGGCATCTCCACTGACCCTCAGTGTGACCGGGGCATTTTAGCTCATCTCTCTGAGCCTCTGTTTCCTCATCTGTAAAAGGGGCATAATAATGGCACTTACATCATAAGGTAGTCATGAGGATTTAATGAGACAGTTCAGAAGGAAGCTCTTAGCCTATGTCAAGCACATAGTTATCACTCAATAAATGATTGCAATATCACTATTGTCATCATCATCCCATGCTTTTATAATGAAGTTAGTTTTCTACTTTCATTGTTATCTCTCTTGATCTCTGAAACACTCACCATAATTTTCTGGATTCTTCCATTCTTGTCACCACCCACCTCCCCCTATCCCGTCACCCAAACTGGTTTCTGTCCTGGGTTTCCTCAACTCAAAAGCGGGGCTGATGACTATTTTATAGAGTTATTGTGAGAAGTAAATGAAGTTATGTGCGCAAAGAACATAGAAATAACTGATAAAATAATAACTAAAACTTAAGGAACATTTACTATGTACTAGGCACTATTATAAGGTTTAATATGGATTGACTTATATTGTCCTCAAAACAACCCTGTGAAGTAGGTCCTATTATAATCCCCAGTTACGGAAAAGAAAAGTGAGGCACAGAAAAATTACGTGACTCGCCCAGTCTCACAGCTAATAGTTGGTACCAGATTCAGGACTCAAGCCTAAGCAGTCTGGGCAGAGCGAGTCTCAGTAAAGGTGATTTCCCTTCTTTTTCCTCCGACCTCTTCTACTGAATCTTTTCTGACTAGCCCAGCCCAGCTAGTACACCAGGAGCAGAAATCCCTCCCTCCCGGCACGCTACCGGGGTCTCTGTCCGCGTTTTCCACACCAGGTTTCACAGAGGTGCCTTGGGGGAGGGCGAAACCAAGGATCCTTCTTACCCCCAGCCCCACCCTCAACCTCAGCTCACTTTGATCTGTTTCGTATATTGAAGATTTGTGTGTGTGTGTGTGTGTGTGTGTGTGTATGTGTTGAGGGGAATAAAGGGAAGGGTTTTCTGCAGTGAAAAAAGGTTTGGAAACTACTCACCTATTTCATTCATTTGTACTCTAGAATGTTGTGAT